TAAAAGATATAACACTCTGAGCACTTCTAAAAGTTAATGGTAAACGACCCAAAACTCTTAATGTTTACAAAGGATAGCTACAAGTTACACAACACTCAGATCGCTTCTAAAGGATAATGGTAAACGACCCAAAACTCCTAATGTTTACAAAAAATAGCTATAAAAGATATAACACTCAGATCGCTTCTAAAGGATAATGGTAAACGACCCAAAACTTCTAATGTTTACAAAGAATAGCTACAAATTACACGCAACACCCTGGCGCTTCTAAGGGATAATGGTAAACGACCCAAAACTTCTAATGTTTACAAAGAATAGCTCCAAATTACACAACACTCAGATCGCTTCTAACGGGTAATGGTAAAACGACCCAAAACTCCGAATATTTACAAAAAATTGGTTTGGTTTTAGAATTTCGCGCAAAGCTACACGATAGCTATCTGCGCTAGCCGTCCCTAATTTAGTAGTGATAGACTAGAGGGAAGGCAGCCAGCCAACACCAACCACCGCCATCTCTTAGGATACTCTTTTACCATCGAATTGTAGGATTGACTGTCACATTATAACGTCCCCGCGGCTGAAAGAGCGAACATGTTCGTAGACAGGGATTCGTACCCGCGATCCTCAGATTGCGAGTGGAGCGCCTTACCCACCAGGCCATGCCAGGGCCGATGTTTCCAAAGAACGGCTATCTATAAATGACATAATACTCTGAGCGATAATAATTAAAAACCTCAAACTCTGAGTGATTCTGTAGAACAACAATAAATAACCAAAAACTCTGAACGCTTTTTTCTTTTGGACAAGAGGACAGTCTACAAAGCGCTCGAGAGTTTAGTCCTTTTCAAGCTATCTGGTAGTTGTTTTCGTTCTATATTGTTGTAGAAGAAACAGAGGCGTACTGTTAACAATGTGGTAACCTTGAGGTTCTACTTTATCCATACAGTAAGAATAACACTCTGTTTATTGCATCTCCTATTGTAGGGTATAGATTAATTCCTTGTTTGGCACGGCTTGATGGTTAGGTTGTTCGACTCGCGAACTGCTGGTCGTGGGTTCGAATCCCGTTCCCGAACATTCTTGCCCTTTCAGCCGTGGGGGGGCATTATAATGCGACGGTCAATCCCACTATTCGTTGGTAAACAATAGCGCAGATAGCCCTCGTGTAGCTTTGCGCAAAACTCAACAATACGAACCAAACAAACACGAATTCATTCGTGGAACCTTTATTCCGTTCCAGTATTATTAGAAATCGAAACCCCCACCGGTTGCTATGGGAATTGTTCCAAACAATATATTTCGGTTAATAAATACCATACATGTTAAGGTTTATAAAGGAAAACGACATAATTATGCTATATCTTAGGGTCACGTGGAATGAGTTTTTCTATGGACTTCTGTATTTTTTCTTGATTTTTTTTAAAAAGAAGATTCCTTGTGATTAATCACTAACTAATTACCAGTAGAAACCTCTTGTTTCACGATGTATTACGTTTTGATGAAGTTTGTCCTTGTGAGGGATCTAGTCAACCTATTTACTGTGTGTGTGTGTTTTGTTAATAAAACTGTACTCAGCTGTATAATTACAATAGTAAGGATATCCATCACGGAGAGAATTAGGTTTACCTTTGACAGGAGAGAACATCCCGGATTGGAGGCCCGATGAGCCGTTATACCGTGAGAGACACGGTGGCGGTCCCCGCTTTCGTTCTTCTACTGGATCGGTGACACAGCCCAGGTGATGTACTATTCTTCGGTCAACCAACGATGGGTACACTAGCGGTGACGCCGCTGTCGGCGGGGCGGACGTCGACCCCACACAGGTGCCGGTAACGACAGGTTTGAAAGGAGAAGTTTGACAGTTCTTCCCGATGTTCACCAGCGGGTTCGTCACCGGTCTCATGGCGTACATAGGACTGCAGTAAAGTCGACTGAGACCCAGATCAGGAGAGATTCCGTACTTTCGATAATAGTACCGGTGGGCTTCGGCCCCAAGACTGTCCATCTGAAGCTGACCCCCAATGGCTGAGAGCGAAACGTGCAATGGCTCTGTGGTATTTGTTTGATACGGCTTACCCCAGCCCATCACGTTATTATTGGGTTTGTTTCTGGGACCGACAGAGATGTCTGCTTCTGGACAAGCAGGGGTGGAACGTGTACTGAGGAGGGAATCCATCAGAAAAGAACGTGACATCTTGACAATCTGTGAGAAATGTTAAGTAAAGTTCCTACGAAAAGTAAGTTTAAATTATAAACCTCGGAAAGTATATATATTGGAACGTATTAGATTGTTGTTTACTGTCCGATATCCTAACAGGTCAGCTGTAGAGCCATCAGAACGATATCACTGTCCTGTTGAAGAAGCTGATTGTCGAGCAATCATAAAAAAAATATATGAACGACGATGCTCGCTTCTCATTGGCTGCGTTGTCTGGCAGACTGCATTTATTAATCCCGATTCAATAAGCCAATAACGAGCAAAGAGCCCTATGTCACCGCTCTAAGCTCGGACAAAGCTATGAATACTAAATATCGAAAATGAGTCGAGCCCTCCTCGTACATAAGTGAATGCAGCGGGCCACGTGGGCACGTGCTCTGTCTCTTACTACTCAATAGTGTTTGGTCCATACGCTCCAGCCCTTGTATTATCGGCAGCGCTTATTTGTTGACGTTACCCTAAGAAACGAGAGAACATGCCACGCGCTCACGAGAGGGGCGGAGCTAACATATACTGCCAACGTCATAGTCACGTCCAGAAGCTTATATACAGATACGAAACTAATCATACTAATCTGTGATGATATACTTCCATCTCTTTCATACTGACAAAACTCAGGAATATGACGTATTATCTATTTTATTTATCCTATGGATATTATAACTATTTTCTGCGTTGTTATCATATTGCTTCTAAAGATATATCTATTTTAAATGAAGTATGATATAAATACCACAAAGTGACTCTAACTAACTGAGTATCGGAAAAAACAAAGAAAGTTTGTGAAACAGTTAACTGATTTAAACTTGAAGATGCAAATTCTTTTAAGATATTTTTCTCAACACCACGAGAAAAGTTTGTTATGTATTTGTGCATTTTTTTTAAAGTTATAGAGAAAAGCCAATCAAGATCGTGATAGATAGACAAAGAAAATTATACTCATTGAAATAATTCGCAACATATTGCATAAAAAAAAAAGATTCTTGTTTATTACGTAACATGCATCATAGCGCCATCTATTATCTGGTACAAAAATTGCTTTGTTTGTAAAATTTCCGCGATTCTCATCGCAGTTTGAATTTTTTTTTAACTTTCAAGATAGTTAACTTTCGTTTGCTATTTTTTTTTAAAACTATACAACGTTTTGGTTTATCATATATATATTTCTTAGTCATAAGTGAACGTCGATCTTCCCAAGTTTATCGCGGTGTAGTATTTTCTTTAACACGGAACATCGTTTTGGTTTTTCACAAAGAAAAGCTATTTTTGATAAATTATTAGAGCCTCCACTTACCTATGGTTTATTTTTTTATGATATTTTGTAACGTGGAACAATTTTTTTAGTTTGCCACAAACAAAATTTAGTTATTCGACCTTCCTGTGGCTTATTCTAATGTGGTATTTAGTAACACGAAATAACGTTTTTGGTTTACCACGAACACAACCAAGTTATACAGAAACCTCGGATTACCTATGGTTTATTTTGTTACGATGTTTTATAACACGAGACAGTGTTTTGGTTTATTATAAACAAAACTGAGTCACTGGTCAAATTCGACTTTCCTGTGATTTGTTTTGATATCGTATCTTACAACATTAAGCAATTTTTTGGCCCTCACAAACGAACTTAAGATGTTAGTTATCTTGGACTTCATAATCTTTACGTGGTTTGTCACAAATAGAGGTAAGTTATTAGAGAGTCTCGACTTTCTTGTTGTGACCTCTGAAAATTCTTCTGAATTCAATTGTTTAAACATCGTCTTGTGTGTTTTCAGAGAGACGTTTGGCAGAGGGAGAAAATGGCTACGTGTGTTTCTTTAATTCTGTTCATGCTTATTCTTGGTGTTTATTTTCTTTGGTTCTCACAAACGAACCTAAGATGTTAGTTATCTTCGACTTCATAATCTTTACGTGGTTTGTCACAAATAAAGGTAAGTTATTAGAGAGTCTCGACTTTCTTGTTGTGACCTCTGAAAATTCTTCTGAATTCGATTGTTTAAATATCGTCTTGTGTGTTTTCAGAGAGACGTTTGGCAGAGGAAGAGAATGATTCCGTGTGTGTCTTTAATTCTGTTCATGCTTATTATTGGTGTTCATTCTCTTCCCTATCAACTTTTCTGGACATTCATTATCAGTGAGTACTTGTGAGTTGTAGTCCTGTGTTTTTTTCACACTACGATCACAGCTAGTACACATCCAAACCATCTAAAGAGCTAACGGAAACGAAAAAAAACATCACTTATAACTCCTTTTAAATGTGGATTCTAATATTTTCTAGAAAAAAAACAACAACAAAATTTAAAATCGGGGACCATAATAGACACACGAGACTGGGTAATATCGATTACTCTGATCATCGCCCATCATACCAGAGAAGGCCACACAATAAATTAGAATGATATCATAGAAGACCTTTTCTATATCCACTAATGATAAAACACCCAATACACCTAGCACAGAAGTCAGGAAAATCTCTCTTGAACACACACAAGTTAGTTAAAATTCTAAGAAATACCAGATGAGTGAACAGCATACAGCCTCTTTGTCAAGAAGACATAGGTTCGAATACCGGCCACTACCGCTAAAGAGATAGTCTTCTCTGAAGACGGCATCAGATGAACATGCGAAACACAGAATAAATACTAGTTAGTACCTAAACAAGAAAAAGCGCTAACTAATTAATAATTAAACGTAAATGATCGTATAGGCTACTGACCATGGTAACGATATCCAGTTATTGTCAGTACTTAAAACGTTGTAGTTTGTCACAAACGAAGCTAAGTCATAACTGAACCATGTCCTTACTGTGTTTTATATTGTGGTGTAGTAACAGGGAACAATGTTTAAGTTTGAAACAAGCTAAACTAAGTATATTGATGAACCTGTGGTTTATTCTGTTGTAGTATTTTGTAACAGATAACAATGTTTAAGTTTGAAACAAGCTAAACTAAATATATTGATGAACCTGTGGTTTATTCTGTTGTAGTATTTTGTAACAGACAACAATGTTTAAGTTTGAAACAAGCTAAACTAAATATATTGATGAACCTGTGGTTTATTCTGTTGTAGTATTTTGTAACAGGGAACAATGTTTTGGTTTGAAATAAGCTAAACTATGCTATTTCTGAGACTGTTGTTTATTCTGGTTTAGTACTTTCTAACATGAAACAATGTTTTGGTTTGAAACAAGGTAACCTATCTTCTCGGAGAACTTGTAGTTTGTTCTGGTGTGGTATGATGTAGCTGGAATAAATGTTTTGGTATGAAACAAGCTAAAATAAGTTATTTGTGAGCCTGTGGTTTATCCTGGTGTGGTATTTTGTAACAGGGAACAATGTTTTGATATGAAACAAGCTAAAATAAGTTATTTGTGAGGCTGTGGTTTATCTTGGTGTGGTATTTTGTAACAGGGAACAATGTTTTGGTATGAAACAAGCTAAAATAAGTTATTTGTGAGGCTGTGGTTTATCTTGGTGTGGTATTTTGTAACAGGGAACAATGTTTTGGTTTTAAACAAGCTAAACTAAGTTATTGATATACCTGTTGTTTATTCTGGTGTAACATTTTGTAACAGGGAACAATGTTTTGGTTTGTCACTAACAAGATTAACAGAAACCAGTTCTCCAACACAGTAATTACACAAAATATTAACGAATAATAAAAAAACAGAATATGTTCATGTTTAACGATCAGACAAATACAAAAAACACTGTACAACGTAAGTAAATCTAATTCCGTATATATATATAAAGCATTAGCATACCGCAAATAGAAACCTGGAATAGACCTTAACATAACGACTAGATTCATTTCATCCCTGAAATAAAAATTAAACAATTGTATAGTGAACTAACTCTAAAAGGAAACATTTACAAAATATTGTGTAGCACATGTTTTAACATAGGCGAAGCGGGACGTATCTTGAACATCGGGTTAAAAGAACAACAACAACAAAAAAACTCCTTCCCGCGCCCATGAACATATGAACAAAATCGAATAGGGGTTTTTCTCAACAGAACGTCCCTTTACTGAAACATGAAAGACATTTAACAGACGGAAAAATCAGAGAATCCTTATCGATGAAAATCAAATAATCCCACAATCAGTAACTATACAGGCATGACTCTATATATCTTTTTTTACCATTGTTACGCCAGACAATCCCTAATCACACCCAAATTCTTCTCACACCTTCCACATATTCAAATTCATATATTTCTGTTTTATTTCAGCTATGAAAATAAATAAATAAAACGTCAACCCACGGAAGTTGCCATGCACATGCGGAAGTAATTACTATCGATCTTCCGATTTAAATGCATTGTTTACTCATTCTTATATTGTTGGTTGAAATACAAAAAAAACTTTCTATACTGTTATCACTTGAGTATAATCGAACCGGTGTCGTGCCTATTTAAATGAAATTTCTTCCTTGAAACACATTGTAAAAAGCTGAAACTTATATCAAACAAATGGTGTTTTGGTGTGTCACAAACGAAGTTAAGTTGATAGTGAACCTCGACTTTCCTGTGGTTTATTTTGTAACACGAGATAATATTTTGGTTTTTACATAAACGAAACACATTGTAAAAGCTGAAACTTATATCAAACAAATGGTGTTTTGGTGTGTCACAAACGAAGTCAAGTTAATAGTGAACCTCGAATTTCCTGTGGTTTATTTTGTAACACGAGATAATATTCTGGTTTTTACATAAACGAAACACATTAATTTATGAGTCACGGCCTTCTATTGTTTATTTTGGTATGCTATTGTTTAAAATTTATACAAATATTTCGTTTATCGTGTATATATACAGTTCGGTTATTAGTGAATGTCGGCTTTCTTGTGTTTATTCTGATGTAATACGTTTTAAAACGAAACAACGTTTTGGTTTTTCACAAACATATTTCTGAGCCTTGTTCTTTTTATCGTTTATTTAGGTGTATTATTTTGTAACAACAAACAGCTTTCTCATTCTGTGAAGCTTATAGTTGCTATGCTGTTTTAACTATATGAAGCTGGTTATTGCTGTGCTGTCTTAACTATATGAAGTTGGTTATTGCTGTGCTGTCTGAACTACTTGAAGCTTATAGTTGCTATGCTGTCTTGACTATGTGAAGCTTATAGTTGCTATGCTGTCTGAACTACTTGAAGCTTATAGTTGCTATGC